GTGTGTAACTATTGGTGTGTTTGACAGACAACTCAATCGGTGGTGACTGGGAAGCGATGGCGAGGGGACAGCAGAAGATTCAGTCGCAACAGAAGGCGGCGAAGAAGGCGGCCGACGCCAAACGGGCCGAAGGACACGACCAGAAGAAGGCCGCGCAGGCGGCGCTCACCTACCAGTGCTCTGTCTGTAAGGTGAGTGACCATCGATGCCATTAAGTGATGATTATGTGCTCATAATGTGTTTGTATGTATGACACGAACTGGTAGTCCCAGATGCCTGACCCCAAAACCTATAAACAGCACTTCGTTAACAAACACCCGAAGGTAACCCTTCCCGAAGAGCTCAAAGATGTGGTCGCGTAATGCCAGTGACGGCCCACCGCACCACCACTCCATTCAATTCATACGATTTTGTCTATATTTCTAACGATTACCACATCTAAACACCTCTCGAGGAACCCGTTCTTATGGCACATAAACCTGTTGTGTGTCTATCGTATCGACTCATCCGTCAAACTATTGTTTCGTTTTTTCTGTGAATTAAAAATAACTTTTTGTTGAAAATGTTTTTCTTTTGTTAAGTCAATGAACTCGTTGACGAAGCCTTCAATCTATAGATTATATGAAATTCAAATCAAAAACAGATGTTTTCTGCGGTTAAATCCCTTTCCCGTCAATTTGAAAATGAATTTTCTGTTTATTATTATTTACACCAATTTTCGGATTAAATTTTTCATAAAATTGTAATAAATAAGTCTAAAGTGTTGATGTTTTTTCTAACAACCAATTTATTGGCATTTGTTTTAAAATACAATAAATTCATTTTTTCTTATTTGCATTTAATTACTTATCACTCATACATACGGTAATTAAATTTGTTATGAATTGACAATTTGATTCAATATTAATTTGTTGCATAACTTATCATACATTTAATGGATTAAAGTTTAGTAATTCACATCATTTTCAGTGATTAGACAGTACTGTAACTTACAGTCTGTAAGGTATAGTCAGGAGATTCTCAGTCATCACAAGTGTTTGTTATATCGTTATGTAACTCGCATACAGTAAACCTATTGTTTCACAACTAAAACAGTTGTTTAGTAACAAAATATTTATTATAATTACATTCACTTCACAGAAATTGCATAAAAGTTATCGCATTTGTGTTGAGAAGCACTCTATCAATCAGTTTCTTGAAGAGAAGTGAATCCATAGTCTAAAGAACGGCTATTTAGAGAAAATGAGATAATTTGTGGTATTAACCAGAACTAACCTTACAGTGCAAGGGATAATGAGTTGCTGTAATAATAATTTAGTACAAAGATAACTTATCTAATAGATCCAAACCCCCACTAATTGGTCA